TTTCCTTCCAGGTGAAGTTTTTTTTGGGGGGGGGGGGGAGGAAAAGGAAGGGAGGGAAGATTTTGGGATGAAAAGAGGGAAATGGAGCAGGAAATTCCCCACAAATCCCCCCTTCCCTGGTTTTTCCTTCCCCTCCCCCTCCCGACATTAAATTTCCCTGGAAAAGTTGGAATCGTTTTTTGGGGGGATTTTTGAAGGATTTGGAGGAGTTTTGGGGGGGGTTGGAGGGAAAGGGGAGGTTGAGCCCTTCTCAGGGGGTCTTAATTAATGGGGACTCTTAATTAGAGTTAATGAGGGGCCCTTTGTTAATTAATGAAAGGGCCCTTAAATTAGTGTTAATGGGAGGCCCTTTGTTAATTAATGGGGACCCTTAATTAGTGTTAATAGGGGCCCTCCATTAATTAATGGGGGGCTTTAATTAGTATTAATGGGGGGACCCTCATTAATTAATTAACTGGAATGCCTTTGTTAATTAATGGGGACCTTTAATTAGTGTTAATAAGGGCCCTTCATTAATTAGTGGGGAGCTTTCATTAGTGTTAATAAGGGACCTTTCATTAATGGGGCTCTTCATTAATTAAGGTCCTTTGTTAGTGTTAATGAGGGGCCCTTCAGTAATTAATGGGGTCGGTTAATTAGGAACCCCATTAACTAATGGGGGGGTCTTCATTAACATTAATTAGGGGCCCTTCATTAGTAGTTCATTAGCATTAATGGAGTCCCCTAATGGGGTTCCATCATTAGAAAGGGGCCCCTAATTAGTGTTAATGAGGGACTGCTCGTTAACTGGGGCTCTTCATTAATGGGGGTCCCTTCATTAATTAATGGCCTTTCATTAACGGGGGCTCTTAATTAATGGAGCTCTTCATTAATGGGGGCCTTCATTAATGGGACCATTAATTAATAGGACCCTTTCATTAATTGGGGTTCTTAATTAACAAAGCTCTTCATTAATTGGGGCCCCTCATTAATGGGACTCTTCTTTAACGGGACCTTTTGGGATTTTCCTGCTTTAATTTGGGGGATTTTTGGGGCATTTTGGGAGGGATTTGGGGGTTTTTTTGAATTTTGGGGGTTTTTGGGGAATTTGGGGGAGTTTTGGGGGGTTATTTTTGGGAATGTTGGGAGGGGTTTGGGCTCTTTTGGGGGAGCTTTTTGAGGGGAATATTGGGGGGATTGGGGGTTATTTTTTTGTGGGAAAGTGGCTTTTTGGGGAATTTTCGGTGGGTTTTTGGGGTTTGTTTTTTGGAGGAATCGGAATTTTTGGGGGGAGTTTGAGGCTCGTTTTGAGGGAGTTTGGGACTTTTTGGGGCAGATATTTCGGGCTTTGGGTTTTTTTGGGAGGGGAGTTTCAGCTATTTGATTTTTGGGGGATGGTTATTTGGGGTTTTTTCCCCCTTTGGGGATTTTGTTTTTTCTTCGTCGTCATTTTTGTTTCTTTTGTGGTGTGGGTTGTTGGTCGGGTGTGTGGGTTGTTCGGTTGCGGGGGAATTTTTGGAGTGGTTGGGGGCCCTCCCCCTCCTCTCCCACCCCCCTCTTTTTCCAACCCCCCAATGCGAGAAACCCCCCCCTAAAATCCCCCAAATTCGGGGGGTTTTGGTCGGGGGAGAAGAGGGAGGGGGGAGGGGGCGGCGCCGCCACAGCTTTTGGAGCTTTTTCGGGTCCTTTTTAAATAAAACAAAAACGACCAAAAAAAAAAAAAAAAAAAAGAGAGAAGGGAAAAAAAAAGCAAAAAAAGCGACACAAAAACAAATCTCCATGTTTTTCGGGGGTGGGGATAAATCGCAGGATCCCCCCCCCCCCAAAATTCCCCCCTAACCCCCCCCCCAGGTCCTCCCTCCCGGGCCGTTTTTCAGCACATTTCTCCTCTTTTTGGTGGTGTTTCTTCAGTTTTTTTGGGGCAAGAATGACTAAAAAAAGCCCTTTTTGACGCCGCTCCCCCGTGGGGGGAGGGGGGGCCCCGCGGCCTCTCCCCCCCCCGGCTCATCCGTGTCCGTTGTAGTTGCGGCCGCTGGGGGTGGGGGGTGACCTTAAACCTGCCCCTCAAATCTGCCCCTCAAACCTGCCCCCCCTGAGCCTGACCTGCCCCCTGTGCCCCCCCCGCCCCGCCCCCGCCCGGACGTGTAGGCGGTTTTGTCCGTTTTTAGAATAAATAACCATTCGCCTGAGTCCAGGTGAGGCTCGGTCTGTGTGTTCTGGGGGCTTAAACCCGGATTAGGGGCTGGCTGTGGGGCTTAAAGTGGCTCCTGGGGCTGGGTTACGCGCGTGTAAACCCAGGTTTCGGGGGTTAAAGCTGGTACTGGGACCGGTTGGGGGGCTTAAACCCAGGTTTGGGGCTGGTTCGAGGGGCTTAAACCTGGTTATGTGACTTAAACTGGGTTCTGGAGCTGGTTCTAGGACATAAACTTGGGTCCAGGGCTGGTTTGAGGGGCTTAAACCTGGGCTTGGGGTGGGGGTGGTTGGCCTGGTTTTAAGGATGTGGAGCTGGGCTTAATTGAGGGGCTTGGGCTGGGTTTGGAGGGGCTGGTTTCAGGGGCCTGGGCTTAGGCCTGGGCCTGGTTATGGAGCCTGGGCCCGGTTTAAGGGCTTGGCCTGACTGGTGGGCTGGAGCTGGGCTGGGACTGGGGGTCTTAGGCCTGGCTTAAGGAGTGGGGATCGCCCTGTTTGTGGGGTTCCAGGCCTGGACCTGGTTAGGGGAGGGAAAAACTGAGCCTACTTGAGGGGCCTGGGCCTGTTCGTGGAGCCTCAACCCGAATTAATTAACACAACAAAACAAGATAATCCAACATTTATTTAACTATATTAATTAAATTACTTTAATTAAAGTCTGCGCAGCCAGGGCCTGGTCGGAGCGCTGAGGCCTGGTCGCGGTTGCCATGACAACAAGGGGGGGTTTCCAGCGCCGCCATCTTGGATGCGGCATTTGCTGACATGGCGGCAACGGGAAACAGGGGGCGTGAAAGAGGAGAGAAGGTCGCCCCCCCACCCCGCTCTCCCCGCGTGTCGGGGGGTCCCGCGTGGGGGGGGCCGAACGTCACACCCGAGCCCCTCGTGGGCCTCCATCGCTCCCCTTTCCCCTCCCGCCGCCATTTTGGAGGCGGGCGCAGAGGCCCCTCCGCGCGCAGCCATTTTCGGTGATGGGAGGCGCCATCTTGGGGCCGCCGCTGTGCGCAGCGCGCATGCGCGGGGGTGTCATGGCAACGCCCGGCTGAGGCGGCTGCGGGCGCCGCCATGTTGGGTGTGGGCAGAGGAGCTTCTGGGGAGGCCGGGGGGGGTTTCACGGGGGCGGGGGAGGGCTGGGACGGGGGCCTGGGGGGATCTCATGGGGTTGAGGGGAGGGTCTGAGGGCTGGGGGGCTTTGAGGGGGGGGGGGGTCCGAAGAGGTCCCGTGGGGCTGAGGGGGGTCCCATGGAAAGGGTGGAGACCCCAAGGGGCTCCTCAGCCCCCCCGGACCCTCCTCAGGGTGGAGGGGGTTCTTCTGCCTCTTCCTTGTTTCCTTCCTCTTTTTCTTCCTCTTCCTCCTTCCCATTTTTCTTCTTCTTCCTCCTTCCCCCTCCTCATTCCCTTGTTCTTCCTCTTCCTCTTTCCTTCTTCCTCTTCTTCCTCTTCCTCCTCCTTTCTCTTCCTCCTCCTTCTCCTTCTTCCTCTTCCTTTTCCTCCTTCCTCCAGCTCCTTCCTCCTTTCTCCTCCTCTTCTTCGCAATTTCTCTTCCTCCTTCCTCTTCCTCTTTTCTCCTCCTCCTCCCGTCTCCTTTTTTCTTCCTCTTCCTCCTTTCTTTCCTTTTCCTCTTCCTTTCCCCCCCTTTTCTTCCTCCCACCTTTCTCCTGCTTCCCCTTCCTTCTTCCTCCTCCCCCTCCTTTTCCCCCAGACCCCCCAGGTTTTGGGGTCCCCCCCTCCCCACACCCCCAATTCCTGCACCTTTGAGGGGTCTCACCCCCCCAAATTTAAGGGGGTCCCCCCTCAATCTCCCCCCCCCCCCCGTTTTACCCCATCCAGGCACAGCTGACGTGAGTTTGGGGGGTGTCCCAAATATTTTGGGGAGTTCCACCCCACTCCCCCCCCTTCCCCCAATTTGGGGCCCCCACAAAGGGGCGTGGCTTCGTCTGTGCCGCCAACGTGTTTATTGGGGGGGGGGACACAGCGGGGACCTCCCAAAATTGGGGGACCCCCCCTAATTTTACACCCCCCCCAGGGGTTGTAGGGGGGTCTGCGGAGCTGGAGGAGGGTCTGGGGCCATCCCCCAAAATTTAGGGAGGTCGGGGGAGGTGGGATGGGGGGTTTGGGGGGATTTAAGAGGCCCCTAGTTTGGAGGGGGGGGGGGGGCAGAACTGTGGGGCCGGGAGGGAATTTGGGGGGGTTTCCCCATTTTGGGGGGGAGATGTCTGAAGTGTGATGGGGGGGTCACGGGGTGTTTTTTGGGGGGCTGGGGGTGTCCCCACCTCTCCCCCCTCCCTCCCCAAAGCCGTGGGAACCTTCCCTGAGCCCACCATTGAAACCTTTGGGGGGGGAAACACCCCCAAAATCCCCCCACCCCCCCCCCCAAAGCCCCCCATTCCAGAGCTGTGCCCAACCCAGCCCTTCATTGGGACTCCTGGTGATTTGGGGGGGCCGGGGGGGGGTCCCCATTTTACATGTGTGGGGGTCCCTGACACGGCGCAGGGGGGTCCCCAAACCCCCTTTTCTCCCTCATTTTCAGAGTTAAAAAGCCCCCAAAGTGGGTGTGGGGGGGCTCTAAGTGCGTGGGGGGGGGTCCCAAATTTTTGTGGGGAGGTTCCAGATTTTGTTTTGGGGGGGGGGGGGGGGGGGGGGGTCCTAAAGGAGGGCACAGAAGAATTTCTTCTCCCGGAAGGGGTTCTCCGAGGTGGGCACGGGGGTCAGCAGGGGGTCCTCGCACGCGTGGGCCTCGCAGTAACTGAGCAGCTCCGCCGCCGCCTTGGACACCTTGGGGGGGGGATTCGGGGTCAGGGACCCCCAAATCCTCCTTCTCAACCCCTGAATCCACCCCCTGGACCCCCCCAGATCTTCCCTCAGCCCTATTCGAACCCCCAAATCCACCCCTTGAACCCCCCAAGCCCCCTTTTGATCCCCCAAATCCTCCCTCTGAAGCCCCGAATCCTCCCTTTGAACCTCCAAGTCCTCCCTTTGAACCCCCAAATCCACCCTCTGGACCCCCCCAAATCTTCCCTCAGCCCCATTTGAACCCCCAAATCCACCCCTCGAACCCCCAAATTGACCCTTTGAACCCCCAAATCCACCCCTTGAACCCCCGAACCCCCCTTTTGATCCCCCAAATCCTCCCTCTGAAGCCCCAAATCCTCCCTTTGAACCCCCAAATCCACCCTCTGGACCCCAAAATCTTCCCTCAGCCCCATTTGAAGCCCCAAATCCACCCCTCAAAACCACAAATCGACCCTTTGAACCCCCAAATCCACCTCTTAACACCCCAAATGCACCTTTTCATCCCCCAAATCCTCCCTGGGAACCCCCAATGCTCCCTCTGAACCCCCAAATTCACCCTCTGAACCCCCAAATCCTCCCTTTGCCCCCCTCCAAATCTCCTCTTATCCCCCCCCATCCCCCAATTTTCCCCCAATGCCCCCAAATCCCCTCCCAATCCCCCCAAATTTCCCCCAAATCCCCCCCAATTTACCTCAAATCCCCTCCCAACCCCCCCAAATTTCCCCCTAGCCCCCCCCCAAGTCCCCATTTGTCCCCTTCCCCACCCCCCGAAATCCCACCCCCCTCCCTCCCGTCCCCCTCGAGGTTCCCCCCCCATAAGGGGGGTCCCGGGGGGGGTCCCGGGGGTCCCCCCAGACCTTGACCCGACACAGGGAGGCCTCGATCTTGAGCTGCTCCACCATTTTCCGGGCCTGGCCCACGCTCAAGGTGCTGCTGGGGGGGGGCTCTCCCTTCATGGGGGGGCTGAGGGGGCACCCCGAGATGTGAGACCCCCCAAAATCCCCCGAACCCCCCGGGGGAGGGGGGGCTTTGGGGAGTGGGGGCACCCTGAGAGCGGGGAGACCCCCCAGGAGGCTTTAAAATGTGGGACCTCCCCCCCCTAAAATACCTTTGGGGGGATTGGGGGGGGCAAAAATGTGGGACCCCCCCCCAAAAAAGGGCTTTAGGGGGGCTGGGGGGGCATCCCGAGGTGTAGGACCCCCCCCAAAATACCCCAAACACTCCGGGGGAGGGGGAAATGGGGGGTGGGAAAGCTGCGACCCCTCCGAAAGGATTTTAGGGGGGTTTGGGGGGGGGGGCAAAAATGTGGGAGCCCCCCACCAAAATACCCCAAAAGGCCCCCCCCAAGTCCCCTCTCCCCAGTTTCTTCTCCCCAAATCCCCCCAATTCCCAGTTCTCTCCTCCCCCTCCAAGAATTCCCCCCCCTCCCCAAAATTGCCCTCCCCCATCCTGCCCCCCCAAAATTCCCCCCCAGGACCCCAATATCCCCCCCATCCCCCTTTACCCCCCAGTTTCCCCCCGCCCCAGAAGTCCCTTTTCCAAATTTCCTCCCCCCCCCCTTTTCCTGCCCCAAAGACCCCAACGGACCCTCCCCAAAATCCCCCCCCCCAAATTCCCCTCCCATCCTCTTCTCCATCATTTGCCCCCCCCCAAAAATTCCCCCCAAATTCCCGGTTTTCCGCTGCTCCCCCAACTCCCCTCCCCCATCCTGACCCCCCCTCCCCGAGACCCCCCAAAATCCCCCCCCGAAAAATCCCCCTCCCATCCCCTTCTCCATCTTCTGCCCCCCCAAATCCCCCCCGAATCCCCCTCCAACCCCCCAAATTCCCGAGTCTCCGCTGCTCCCCCAATCCCCCTCCCCCATCCTGCCCCCTCCACCTCGAGACCCCCCAAAATCCCCCCCCCAAGACCCCCAAAATCCCTCCCCCCCCACCTGGATCCGCAGCCTCTCTGTCCCGGCGCTGCTCGGAGGGGGCGGAACCACCTTTGGGGGGGGTCGGGAAGGGACGGGGGGCGATGGGGGGGGGAAGGGAGACGCCCCTGCCCCTCCCCCACCCCTCCCTTGCCCCTCCCCCTCCCGGGTTTGGGGGGTTCCCCCCCCTCAAATATCGGAGGATGCGGCAGAACGGAGGGGGAGGGGCGGGGTTATGGGGACCCTCCCCCCAATGGGCCTCATCCCCTGGACCCCCCTCAAATCCCCCTCGACCCCCCCCCAAATCTCCGTGGCCCCCCCAGGGACCTCCCAGCTCCCCCAAACCCCCCAAGGACCCCCCTAAATCCCCCCCAGGGACCCCCCACTCACAACCTGACCCCCCTCAAGACCCCTCGAAACCCCCCCTGGACCCTCCCAAGGGATCCCCCAATCCCCCCCCAACCCCTCTTGGACCCCCCCAAACCCACCTAAATCCCCCCGGGGACCCCCCCGGGACCCCCCGAAACCCATTCCAGGGACCCCCCCCAACCCCCTCTTGGACCCCTCTAAACCCCCCGAATCCCCCCAGAGACCCCCAAACCTTCTCTGATCCCCCCAAAACCCCCCAAGGACCCCCCAAACCCCCCACGGGACCCCCCCAATCCTCTCGTTGCCATGGAAACAGGGCGGGGCCCGGCGGGGCCGCAATGGGCGGGGCCCGAGGGCGGGGAAGGGGCGGTTCCGTGGGCGGGGCCTCACCAGGCGGGTCCGCATTGGGCGTGGCCAGGCGCCGGGCGTGGCTTGTTAGCGAGTAGGCGGGGCTTAGACCATATCGGGTGATTGAAGTGGGCGTGGCTTTTCCGAAGGGGCGTGACGAGCAGGCATGGGCGTGGCATATGGAGGGAGGGGCGGGGCCAAGCTCGGGACAGTCCAATGGAGTTGGGTGGTAGGCGGGGCCTGTACCCGGAAGGGGCGCGGCGAAGGGCGTGGCCAGGGCGTGGCGCGAAGCGGGAGGGCTCCGGCAACCGGTAACGGCGCGAGACCCCCCCCACCCCCCAAAAAAAACCCCCCAAAGCCCCCCGGGATCTCCCCCAAAACCTCCCTAAAAACAGCCCCAGAACCGCCCCGACCCCCCCGCCCAAAAAGCGCCAGGACCCGCCCCAGAACGGCCGCGTGAAACCACCTCAAACCCGCCCCAGAAACCGCCCCGGGACCCCCCTAAACCGCCCTAAAAACAGCCCCAAAACCGCCCCAGAACATCCCCAAAATCTCCCCCCAAAAATCCCCCCAAAAGCCGCCCCAACCTCCCCCCGAAAAACAGCCCCAAAATCCCCCCAACCCGCCCAGAAAATCGCTCCAACCCCCCCCCCCCCCCGAAAAAACCCGCCCCAACTCGCCCCAAAAGCGCCGAATCCCCCCAAGCCCTGGGACCCCCCCCGAGACTTCGGGACTCCCTGGGACCCCCAGATCTGAGGGGCTGGGGGTGTTTGGGGGTCCCCCACAGATTTTGGGGGGCTGGAGGGGTGATCTTTGGGAGTATCCCACAGATCTCGGGGGGCTCGAGAGGGGGATCTGGGGGTGCCCCATAGATTTTGGGGGTGCCCCATAGATTTTGGGGGTGCCCCACAGCTCTGGAGGGTTTCTGGGGGCCGAACCCATCTGTGGGTGGGGGGTCAACCCCTCCCTCACCCCCCCGCCCCTCCCCTCAACCCCTCCCCCCCTTTTCCAGCCCCCTCCAAATCTGGGAGCCCGAAAGGGGGATTTGAGGGAGCGCCCCATAGATTTTAGGGGTGCCCCGTGGATTTTTGGGGTGTCTCACAGCTCTGGGGGGTCGGAGGGGGTTTCTGGGGTTCCCAACCCGTCTGTGGGTGGGGGGTCAACCCCTCCTTCTCTCCCCCCGCCTCTCCCCCCCCCTCCCCCCCCCCCAACCCCTCCCTTCGTAACCTCTCCCCCTTTTTTCCCTTCCCCAGCCTTTCCATGGGGTTCTCCCCCGCTCCCGCCCTCCCGCCGCAGCCGAGGGGCTCGGGATGGCGCCGGGGGGCTCCGGGCTGGCCGTGTCCCCCCCCTTGCTGCAGTGGGGGGCTCAGGTGGGGCGGGGGGCGCGGCGGGCGCTGCTGCGGGGGGGGCTCCTGCTGTGCCTGGGGCTCCTCCTGCTCTGGGCCTCCATCTTCCTCTACGGCACCTTCTACTGGGCTTACCTGCCCATGGCCACCGTCGTGCGGCCCGTGCACCTGGGCTTCAGGTGGGCACGGGGGGGGCACGGGGCGCCGGGGGGGTCGGGGGGCACCGGGGGGTCCCGGGGGGTAAGGGGGGAGGGGGTTTGTGGGACCCCCCTCCCTCCCCTCGTGCTCCACGGTCACGGGTGGTACCTGGGTTCAGGTGGGGCTGGGGGCTTCAGGTGGGCATGGGGAGGCACGGGGGGGGCACGGGGGGGCACGGGGCGCCGGGGGGGTCGGAGGGCACCAGGGGGGGCTCAGGGGGTCAGAGGGGAGGGGGGATGTGGGACCACCTCCATGCCCGTGGGCACCATCATCGGCCTGGGTTCAGGTGGGTCTGGGGGGCACTGGGGAGTTCTGGGGGGGTCCCGGGAGTTTAGGAGGGTCTGGGGGGGTCATGGAGGTCTGGGGGGGTCCAGGGGGTTGGGGGGATGCAGGAGGGTTTGGGGGGGTCAGGGGTGAGGGGAGACAGCTGACCCCCCCATGCCAATGGGCACCGTCGTGTACCTGGTTCGGGGGGGGCTGGGAATATTTGGGGGGTTCGGGGGGGGTCTGTACCCTCCTTTAACACCCCCTGACCCCCCGATTTGGCCTCCCCAGGTCGGACTGTGACGTTGCCCCCCCCGAGCTCTGCTCCTTCCCCACGGCCAACGTGTCCCTGCTGGGGGAGCACCGTGAGAAGGTGGGGAGACCCCAGAAATCGGGGGGGGGGAGGAAATATAGGGTGCCCCCCAAAAATAGAGGTAAAAAATATGGGGGTGGGGCCCAAAAAAATTTGGGGGAGGATCACAAAATTGTGGTGTGGAAACATGGAGGAGAACTCAAAAATAGGGGGGGAAGCCCAGAATGGGGAAGGCGAAAAATATGTGGGGTTGGGGGGGGGCAAAATAGAGGGGAGACCCCAAAAATATTGGAGGGGAGGGGCAA